GTGGGGACGGGAGGCTCTGTGTCGCTCCAGGTCTGACTTCCAGTCTCCCGACGGTCACTATTCCTCCGGGCTGTCTCCCACTGTGTTCTCTGAGGTGCCCTTCAAAGGCAGCCCAGGTAAATTAGGAAAAAAAGACAACCCTGCCTCGGGAGTGATACATTCCCACTAGTGACACAGGCAGCTGGGGTTTCTTTTAAAAGCCATTTCCACAAGTATATCAATCTCCACGCATAATAACTGGCTACAGACAGACCTGGTTAGTAACAGCGCAATATAATTAAATGCCCTTTCATCCAGGCATTTCAAAGGGCTTCATCAACGTTAATTATGCCCCAAGCCCTTGTGAAGTGGTGCTTGATTCAATTTTGTGAGCATTGAAAGTCAGGCAAAGGCGATGCCACCGGCCCAGGGGTTACACAGTTTGAACGTACACCTATTAGCAGCCCTCAAGTGTGTGGCGAGAGGCGATTCAGAGTCGAGGTGACAACCGGCAGAACTCCTGACGTTAAGCTCCGCCTCCAAACCTCAGAGCTGGAAAACTGCAAAATGGGGGTGTCTGGGTCTGCTGGTAGGGAGGGAACGAGGGGTGGGGCCTGGGTGGCTTCACCGACTTCCTCTTTTTGCAGAGGAACCACACCAGGTGTGTTCACAGAAGTCATTTAAAGGGGGAAGTGTTCAACAAGTCCACGTGGATGGCTAACCCAGAACAGGGATTTGACTTTGGACTCCGTGACTCTGTCTCAAGACTAAAACAGGTTCCTGCCCCACTGAGGGGCAGGTTGGGAGAACTGCCTGGTGGTGGCCTCAGGCCAGCATCTTCACCTGCCATATCTTTGGATCCTGAGTTCCTCCGCCCGCGATGTCAGATGGGGACGATGCCGCTGAGGCAACACCTAATTGGCTCCCAACTGGCTCTCGACTTCATTGGGCAGAGTCCACTGAGGTGGAAGAGAAGGGAGGAAAGAGGCAAGGGCCAGCCTCATTTGGAGGCAAATACCTCCATGGGGGCTCCTGCCAGTGGAGAATTTCAACTGCCCGAGAAAGACCAAGACATGGCCAAAGTCAGAGTGAGCAAGCGGCAGGGCCGGACCTTAACAGGTGTCCCCAGCACTTTGGTCCCATATATACAGGTGAGGAAGTAGTGAGGCCTCCCAACTATCAGGAACCTTATATTGAGGACACAGGTCGACCCAACTGGGACGCTTTGAAAACGAAAGGGGGCTCTATTAATATACGTGGCCGTGAGGCACAAGCCAGGACTTTTGGTCCCTGTACTCACAGTGCAGTCTCTGAATGGGAAGGGCTGCTGGAGAGGGAAGGAGGGTGAGGGCCACACTACAAGCAGACAGCAAGGTTTCAAACTCAGCTGCTTTCTTGGCGTGGCTTCAACAGACCTCAATGTCAAGGGTGGGGCAGCAAAATCAAGGTCACTTCTCTCTCTGCTTCAGCTTCCCTGTGTGGATTTTGAAGACCAGAAGTCCTGGGCTGGGTCCTGCCTATGCCACTTACTGCTGTATGACTTCAGGGGAATTACCTTAACTCTCTGAGCTTTGGCTTCCCCTCTGAAAAATGGAGGACTGTAAACCCTCATGGGGTTGTCATGTTACATGAAATAACATACATGTTGGGAATGTCATGTTACATGAAATAACGTACATGTTGAAACATCACCTGGCACATAAAAAAGTACAAAAACAATTCTAGCTTGTTACTATCATTATTTTTGATCATTTTTATTTTTATTATCACTATTCTTAGCAATAGCTCTAAGGACCTTTTTGGCGCCAGCTACGACTCTGGAAAAAAAACGAACGGTTTCCAGAAAAGCAGCCAAAGGTCCCAGAGGTAGGAAACCTTGCCGAGTGAAACCTCAGCTCAGATCTCCCGTTCTAACATCTGCTTTACATCTGCCAACAAGAGCCTCTATTTAAATATCACGGTGACAAGACCAGTCATTACTTGCTATTTAAACTCACCTCCCACAATCCCTTGGGCTTAAAACTGCCAACAATTCAGTATGAATTGCATTCTGGCTTGCTCTGAGGGTTACTCATATTCAAATACAAGAGAGGCAGCTGCCTGGCTCTCCAGGCTCTGCTACTTCTGTAACCTGGCTTCAGGCCAGCTCCCTGATGCTTACCTTCTCCAGCAGGGGAGGCATTATCTTCCCCAGGATTGCCATTTCAATACTTACTAACCGGTGTCAGGGAGAGAAGGGGCCTGGCAGAGTGGTGGGCCCAATGCAGGCAGCAGGGAGCCATGGATAAAAGCAAGGGCCTTGGCAATGCACACACTCAATTCGAATCCCAGCTTTACTACCTACTGACTGTGTGTCCTTGGGCAAGTTAATTAACCGCTCTGTGCCAGTTTCCTAATACGTAAAAGGGGATTGTAATAATACCTACCTTGAGGGGCCCGGTAAGGATTAGCACAGTCCCTGTCATACAGTAAACAGTCAACACAAGTTAGCTGCTGCTATGATCGTGATGATTACTACAGGAACTGGGAACGGGCTATGGAAGTGTGATAAAGGACCTCTATTTTCCTGTCAGGAAAACTGCCAAAGGTGATACCTGAGCTGGAGCTGGAAGAATACGTAGGATTTCTATCAGTAGAGACAGGGGAGGATGCAGGCAGCTTCAGTTTCCTACACCTGTAAGTTCAGGTCATGGTCGCAACCGCCATGTAGGGTGGATTTAAAACTGACCCGCAGAGAAGTTGCATGCCTTTCCCCCAAGTTACAATGACAGACAGTGAGAGAGCTGGGCCTTGAAGACAGGTCTCTCTGAGTCTAAAGGCCATGCTGGTAACACCCCTCCTAGCTCTACTTTTGCATCAAAAATGTCCTGAAGGCTAAGGCACTGATAAAAATAGCTTCCCCCCACCTCCCTCCCAGACTGCAAACTCCTTCAGGGAAGAGAGAGCTCAATGGTTTATACAGCCTCGCCCACCCCACACAGGCAGGGAGAGCAGGTGCTCAGCTGAAAGCCTATTCGCTAAACACAAGAAACTGAGGCCTGACGCTTCCAGGCTGAGGCCAAGCCTCCAGTGCCGGCAACCCCTTGCGATGCTGCCTTCTGGGCAGCTGGCCTCTTGGGCTCCCTTTCACAGACCCCCCCCTCCCCCCTGCCCCAACAACCAGGGCAGAGAGCAGCGCTGCAATTCAAACGGCGTGCTCCTAACTTCACCTCACTGATAAAGTTGCACTTGGGCCCTCTTAACGTTTTCCTTGCCCCAAATATAAGAGATGATTTGGGGGCAGCCTGCCCAGCCCACATAACCACTTTTCTCTGAGAGCCGCGTACAAGGAGGGAGCCCCAGAAACCTGTCTGCTGTGTGAGACTCCACCCACCTGCCCACCACAGATTGGACCAGAGTAGACACCTGACCCAAACTGGCCAATCGGGTCTTCCCTCTGTCAAAGGCGGGGGAGGAGTTCCAATTTGTTCTAATCTCCTTCTTGCCCTTCTTACCTCTGGTGGCAGGAGCTACCTTGTAGTCTTATTATAATAGTTTTCCCTTTTGTCTCTCTCCCTAGGCACAATTAACTACGCTCCTCCGCTTTGGGCACCTGCCTCTGTTCCTCTTTGTAAACCCCAGGCACTCGAGAGTCAAGCACCTCCCGCGTGCCTCCTGCGTGGGCTAGGTGCTTTTTCATTGATCCACATGGCTGGAGGGAGGAGGGATGGAGGGAGGGATCACTACCACCATTCTACCCATAAGAGAAGCTCTGAGGGGCTAAGCCATATGTCCAAGGGCACTTAGCTGGGAAGGAGCAGAATAGGGATTCGAGGACGTGTCTTCTTTCCCTTGATCCCCCCCCCGGAACTTCAGTTCGCTCATAACTGTGCATGTGCCCGTCTCCCACCTCAACTCAACTCCTAAGCTTGTTGGTAGAGTCACCATGATTGATTTACCTTTGCTCCGGCACCCGGAAGGTACTTCTACAATAAGTAACAGAGATAATTTGTAATTGAAACGGAAACTTATTAGAAATCTCACCTGGGAGAGTGTTCTGTGTTTTCTTAGATTCTGTATCTGTTTGTTTGGCACACATTCATCACAGCCAACTGCATTAACTGTATTTTCTTGTGTTCTCTGTTCTTGATGCTCTGGCATTTGTGGCCTCACTCACCCGGCAGAGACCACCTCTCCCAGGGCTAGCCAATTCTTAGAGACAGCAGGGACGCAAGCAGCACTCTGGGATGCTCACTGCAGCCCTGCTTACACTCACCCCGCGGTAGAAACAACCTGAACATCTAACAGTAGGGGATGTGTCCAGAAAGTTTTGATAGAGCAGCTCAACAGATTACTGGGCAATCCGTTCAAAAAGTATGCGTTAAATCACGACTCAATGACACGGGGAAATAACCCACAAATAGGGCTACGTGAAACAACCAAGACAGGAAACTTTCTGTGCAGTCTGATCCCAAAAGCGTAACACCAAAAAAAGACAGGAAGGAGAAATATGAACAAGGCTTGTCTCTGAGTAATAGAGTAGGTGATTTAAAACAAACAAACAAATCTTCTAAGTGGGAATACCTCCCTTTAAAAATATTTCTCGGGGCGCCTGGGTGGCTCAGTCCCTAAAGTGCCTGACTTCGGCTCAGGTCACGATCTCACGGTCTGTGAGTTCGAGCCCCGCGTCCGGCTCTGTGCTGACAGCTCGGAGCCTGGAGCCTGCTTCGGATGCTAGGTCTTCCTCTCTCTCTGCCCCTCCCCCACTCATGCTCTGTCTCTCTCTCTCTCAAAAATAAGTAAAGCTTAAACATTTTTTAAAAATATTTCTCTTTCTCTTTTTATGTTTTTCTCTAACCCCCTGTCTTTATGTACTTCAATGAGTGTTTCTTTCTTCTGGATTACCCGTTCTCCTACATTTGTGCCTGTTTCTGCCGCTAACAGGCACGCAGACCCCGGAAATATGTGTTAGCCAGGGCTATGCTGTGTTACTCTCGGCTTAGGAAAACACCGCATTTCAAAACCAGAAAGAAAGCTCTTGCCTTGTAGGAGAAGGAAGCCTCGCTGCCGCCGGGGTCTGCGCTGCTTGTGGGCGGGAGCGGGCGCAGCTGCAGGGCCGCACCGCGGGCTCGGTCCATGGCGCTAGTGGAACATTCCCTGGGAAGCTGGAGCTGCCGCTAGGCGGGGCCGAACCCGGAGACCATCTCTCCTGGCGGGGGTCACCTCCTTTCACGGGGCCGTTGGAGGACTTTGAGGCTCTTCTGGCTGATTTACAGCCTCTCCCTCACCTTCACCCCGAGAAGTGCCAGGTTCTGTCTCTCCCAAACAGGCAGGCAAGGGTGCGATTCCTTATCCTGGCGGCGCCCTAGGGTGGTGGGGGGGAACATGAAGAATGCAAGTACAGTGAGCCCAGCTCGATCACCCAAGGGGAGATATACTTTGAGGACAAAACACAAGCCGTCATGAGAAGTGAAGTCATTTACAAAATTATATCATGCCTTTGGCCTCCCCTAATAAAGACATGGCTCAGGATGCCTGGGTGGCTCAGGGGATTAAGGAGCTGACTTCAGCTCAGGTCAGGGTCTCACCGTTTGTGAGTTCCAGCCCCTGGCCGGGCTCTGTGCTGACAGCTTGGAGCCTGGAGACTGTTTCAGATTCTGTGTCTCCCTCTCTCTCTGTGCCTCCCCTGCTCACGTTCTGTCTCTCTCTCTCTCAAAAATAAACATTAAAGGGGCGCCTGGGTGGCTCAGTCCGTTGAGCGTCCGATTTCAGCTCAGGTCATGATCTCACGGTTCCTGGGTTCAAGTCCTGCATCAGGCTCTGTGCTGACAGCTGGGAGCCTGGAGCCTGCTTCAGATTCTGTCTCCCTCTCTCTGGCCCTCCCCCACTTGTGCTCTGTCTCTCTCTCTCTCTCTCTCTCTCAAAAATAAATAAAAGGTAAAAAAAATTTTTTTTTAATAAACAAACATTAAAAAAATAATAAAAATAAATAAATAATAATAAAGACATGGCTCATCTACCTCAAAACCTTTTTCCCTGGCCCTTAAAAATTACCTTTCCTCAGGGCACCTGGTGGCTCAGTTGGTTAAGCATCTGACTCTTTTAGAATATTTTTTTTTAATGTTTATTTTTGAGAGAGAGACAGAGTGTGAGTAGGGGAGGAGCAGAGAGAGAGAGGGAGACACAGAATCCAAAGGAGGCCCAGGCGCTGAGCTGTCAGCCCAGAGCCTGACGCGGGGCTCGAACTCACCGACCATGAGATCACGACCTGAGCCGAAGTCAGGCGCTTTGCCAAATGAGCCACCCAGGCTCCCCAAGTGTTTGACTCTTGACTTCGGCTCAGGTCATGATCTCAGGGTTCATGGGATCGAGCCCTACATTAGGCTCTGCACTGACAGCATGGAGCCTGCTTGGGATTCTCTCTCTCTCTCAAAAATAATTAGGGGCATCTGGGTGGCTCAGTGGGTTATGCGTCCGACTTCGGCTCAGGTCATGATCTCACAGTTTAAGAGCTTGAGCCCCACATGGGGATCTCTGTTGTCAGTGCACAACCCACTTTGGATACTCTGTCCCCCTCTTTCTCTGCCCCGACCCCACTTGTGCTCGCTCTCTCTTTCCCTCTCAAAAATAAATAAACATTAAAAAAAATAATTAAACAGTTAAAAAATTTTTTTTTCTAATCGCCTTTTTGCTCCCCCCCCCCCCCCCCCCGGCTTCCTTCTTCCCATCATATCCTAACTGAAATCCTACCTTTTCCATAGGCTCCCCTACAGGAGAAGTAGAAGATTGTCTTGTCTGCCTCTCCAGGCCTCCAAAAAATATCCTGCTGTCATAATAAAGGAACCACCTGTGTTCGATATCGGAATGAAAGAACGAGAAGAAAAGCTATCTTCACGAATGGTGGAAGAACTGGGCTGCTACCCGAAAGTCAGCCTAGCACAGGTGAGGTAACACTGGACCCTAGGAGAAGACCCATGTGACCGGATCATACCACCTCTGGGAGACTCAGGTGCCTCATCTGTAAAGTGGGGGTAATAATGTGGCTTCAAGTAAGATCGTCAATGACAGTAATTCCCATTGACTTTATCGGACTGATATTTTCAATGCATGTCAAGCTTTTCTACCAAATGGAGAAGAAAGATGAAGTATGCTCCTAGGGTTCTGGAAGGCCTGGCCAAAAACACCTTACCACAACGCTAAGGGTTTCTTTGAAGTCTTCTTATAGTAGAAAAGAAAAAAAAAAATCAATCATACAAATTTGGATTCTACTGCAGTCTATGCTCATTTCAATTTAAAAAATGTTATACATAGCTTTTGATCTGTTATATGCTACCTGTTTGCCTTGTCCAAGTCATTTAACTTTCCAGGCAGTTTTCTCTGCTGGAAAATACAGATAATCAGATAATAACATTTCTACCCCCACAGGGCTGTTGTGAGAATTTGATGAGATAATGCATGTAAAATGCTATGCATAACAAATGGTCAATGGATGGCAGCTATTATTAATTTTATTATCAGTTTAATTATTTAATTTACCCACAAATATTCCTTTCTTTCATGCATTCATGCTACATTTATTGAGGGCTTACTATATGCCAAACAGACACAGCCTCTGCTATGCCTCAAGGCTTCAGGCTTGAGGACAAAGTTGCTCTTTGTCCTGTGACTTCCAGTTCCTTCTGTTATCTAGCCCTCTCCCCAGGAATGCTGGTTCCTGGTAGGAGTCATATGTCACAGGGCTAACACTGCAACCAGCATCTAGGAGACACGAGACGCAGGGCTTGGCACAGGGGCAGCCACGAAGACCATTTAGCCCAGGTCTCACTTTGTTGAAGGGCCTCAAAATTAAATCCTTGTTGCTATCTCCAGATGAGGTTACACATTCAGTATATAGTCAATACCTTAATTACATACATATACATGCCATATATATACAATACGTACAGGGTACACTCATCAATTTTATAACTCACATCCCATAATCAAACCTCCCTGACTGTAAAGTATTTGCAGTCTTGTGAAAAGCATAATTATTCTTCACGATACTTTCATGTGTGGGTGAAAAGCATTATTGGGTTAAATTTATGTATTTTCATGTTTTGAATATAGTAGCCTTAGGAAGGAAGAGTGGCCCAGGGACAGTCCTCCGAGAGACCCTTAGAGGCTTTCAAGCTGGAGCTGGAGAGGCACTGGGGCACAAACTCTGGGAAGGCATTTGCTGAATCCCCTGTTCATCCCTTGCCAAGATCTGGCCCAGGGCCTGGCATGGTGACCTCCATCTATACCTCCTGACTGGCTAAAGGCAGGCCTGTTAAGCACCTGATGCAGTTTGCAATCAAGAATGGAATGGCTTACTCAGGCCTCATCAACCACAACTCCAGAGATACAACTGCTGCACCCAGCCCCGCCCACAGGATGTCAGAGAAAGCAAACAGGCCTTGGGGACATGCCAATGGGGTGATGGAAACCTAGGCCTCCTAACCTTCTTTGGACCAGCTACTTTGTTCAGGTGGGTTTCTGTGTTTGTTTTTGTTTGTGGTGGTGTTGTGACTGTCATTTAATTCGCTTTTAAAAAGCAGCTCTTCTCTCTGCCTCAGAAACGCTCAGGCCTCTGAGGCATCACCTGCAAAGACAGGAAACTCTCCCTCAGCTCGGGAGGAGTCTAGACTAAAGGCCTCGGATGGGGGGTGCTGCTTGAGTAGCTCAATAGGTTAAGCATCTGACTTGATTGTGGCTCAGGTCATGATCTCACAGTTCGAGGGTTCCAGCCCTGAACCTGGCTCTGCACTGACAGTGCGGAGCCTGCTTGGGATTCTGTCTCCCTCTCTCTCTGCCCCTCCCCTGCTCACATGCTCTCTCTCATAAATAAATAAACATTCAAAAAAGAAAATAAAAGCTCTGGAGGAACTCTTTGCCAGTTGCCCTCCCTTGTAAGGCGCACATTCTTTGCCTGGATGATTCTCCTTTTCTGCCTTCAAAGCACTTTTCCAGGACTAACATATGCCCAAGAGGCAAGTGGCCAACTCTGTGTTCCCAGCCACCCCTTAATTTTGAGGCTGTCACAGCCAGCAGTGAGCACAGGGTCACTGACTCAAGAAAGGAAAGATAATTCTAGGTGCTTGCTTCCATTCCTCTCCCCCCCCACCCCTTATCTCAATGAATTATTTCACCAACCCACAGAGCAGGTCAGACAGATGACAGGACCATAGGTCATGGCTGCTAAGAGTAGAGTTTGCATTAGGATTTGGCTTTATCTGAAAAAAATAAATAAAATACGCTCTTTCCCACCACCTGACGATTCGCCTTCCGGCTTGTTGAGTGCCAGTTACGCCAAGCCCTTTCCCTTTCCTGGGCTTTGGCTCACTAAAGGGTTACACTCTTCATTGCCCTCCCATTGAGCAGGAAACTACAACTTCCAGCAGCCAGTATACATCAAGAATACCTCCCCTCATTCCACCTGCTAACTCCACCATCTGCTACTGCCAGGAAGCCCGAGCCGGCGTGTAGAGGGATAATTTTGGCAAAGTTACCGCATTTCACTTCCTGATTTGGTAAAGCCTGCCATCATCTATATTAAGGCAAACCCATGCCCCCTGCAAAAATGGGGGAAAAAAGCATTCCGAGGCAGCGAGACCCAGACCTGCAAGGCTGATGACAGCAAGAAGGAAGGGTATTTGTACTAGGGGGCGTTAGATGATTCCAAATGCATTCCCTTTCCTGAAAAAAACAAAGGCTGATTTCAAGTCCCCCCCCCCCCCCCCCCCCAGGCTTAATCACTACTCACCTGCGGCGTTTTCTCTAAGGACCACCTATCGGAGGTTTCTGAGAAATGACTTGGACTCTTCGCGCAACCCGGAGGCACAGCCTCCTTAATTCCTTCCCCAACTCAAGAGCGGCCAGGGTGCTGCAGTGTTTTGCTTTCAAAGGCCGCGATGTGATTTGCCAGGACGCCTGCCAGTCAGAGGCTGGCGGCGACTTCGTGCAGGCGAGTGGCTGCGAGGAAGGGATGGGCGGGACAGCCCCCGGCTATTGGCTGTGCCTCAAAGCTTGCTTGAAGCGTAGGGGGAGAGACTTGGGGAGGCGGCGCCCTCCTCCAGCTTCGCGCTCACCTGGAGGGGGTCCCCTCTAGCGGCCGCAC